GAGATGGGGACGCGGCACGGGTGATAACAGCTGATAGGGGCTGATAAGGATAAGGTTCAGTCAAATTGCTGGAGCCTTTACACTACCAAATTACAGAATTTTAGTGATAGGGACATTGATGACGGGTGAGGATCTTATCAATTGATAAGAAAGGATAAGGAGCCATTATCATTACCTCTCTTATCACTATACCCCAAGTATTGAAGGCTCAGTGTGCATACTTTCCTTTAGCCATCACTTCCCATCACACACACACTTACAGACATACTTAGCGGATTATATATAGTAGGATATTTGTAATAAAAATAAACGATACATATATAAAATACGAATGCAAAGATGAGTAATTAAATGTAAGTGCTTAAAGAACCCTTAATCTTCCTGATAACGCGAACCTGTAAACGATTAAAGCATTAAGAATGAAAGCGTTATAACGAGTAAGGAGTAACGCGAGAAAGCTGATGGCAACGCGAGATGATGATACGCGAATGAGCTAGCCTTTCTGGCAGACACCCTTTTATGCGGCGACCAGACGCAGCACTGTGCGGCCCGCAATCAGCCTCCTCGATCAGCAACAAAGCTCCCTCGAGCTCCTAAACCCACTATCGATTGATATTAGAGAGAGTTACATAAATAACATACGATAAATATAACATAACATACATGCGATAAATACAATACTTACGATAGTTCACATGGACAACTGTTCGAGTTAAAAGGTCTACCCTACTTACACATTTCAGAGTTATTAGCTTACAAGCTTATGATAAGACGACTGTTGTCGTCAAGTGACTACTCTCGACAGATTGAAAAAACGTGAGGATCACGAAGAAGCACACTATAAAGTGAATGAAATAGCGTCGTGCTGAATTAATATTAATGGGGTAGAAGTTATTAGGGTATCCAGAAATCGGCATAAACCGCTTGAAAATTGCCGTTAAGGCTTACGAAAAAGTAATACGATAAGGTAGCGCTACCTGTCAAACTGAATGGAATGGAATGGTATAATGCCTAACTTTTAACTAACCATCTTTAAATGAAAGCTCAATCATTCAAGAGTCGTGTCTCGTGGAAACCCATACTGTTTACGAAGTGCATCCTTGCATATCGCTGAATCTCATTGCCTGCCTTCGGCGGGTTAGTTCAGGTAATGACCCTCTGGCCTCTTCTATATTATCCCGATAATGACTTCTTTATCACTTTGAGAGCCCTCTGGCCAAACACAACACTGAGAAAGCTTAACTATGAAGCCATGGCCGCCCTCACACGTCTTAAGGAAGTAAGTGTTGCAGATGGTAGATATGATGCCCATTTCTCCCTGATTCATAATTTAAATTATAATTTAGGAACCGGAGAACGCTAGGACATTACGAAAAGAGTACATGGAGAGGAAAGATAAAATATCTGAGGAAATGGCGCAGTAGGACCCTTCTCAAATCACTTTCTTCGTTTACCCCTTAACGAGACTATTATTATTTTTCAACGAGCTTTATCAGAAGGGAGCATCCAGTGCCCGAATCTATTCGAAATCCCTGAGATCGGGTAGGCGTGGCCGCATGTTTCAACTTAACCTGAAGGTGTCTATGCTTCTGGTGAGATATTTTCATCTTGACACAACTGTTGTCGTGTCTTGCATAAAGATGTCCAAATTTGTCACAAACAGAACAATATGATACATTTCTATTAGATTTACACACTTGTTTTTGTTTGAATAGTTGTAATAATAATAGTAATAATAATAATAATAATAATAATAGTAATAATCCCTATATATAATCCGCTATGTCCGTGCGTGTGTGTGTGCGTCTGTCTGTGTGTCACGAAATTCATAGCGCCGGTCCAAGTAGCAGTGAGACATTGATTTCAAGAAGTGACGTGGGGGGGGGGGTGTGACGGGAATACTATTGGTGGGTGGCAAGAAGTGATAACGTTGATAAGATCCGATAGCAGGCGTTAGATTCGGGAGGTCAACATATCCCGAGGTACGATATAGGGTATGGCACACGAACATGATTGGTGGGTGGCAGGGAATGATATCAGTTGGTAATATCTGATAAGAGGCGTCAGAAGGGGAGGGGCACCGAGTCCATAGCGCGGGTCACAGCAGTAGTGGGACGTTAGTTCCAAGGTATGGTATAGGCTATGGCACGCGATTACTATTGGTGGGTGGCAAGAAATGCTAGCAGCAGCTGATAAGATTTGATATGGGAGTTAGAGTGGGAAGGTCACCACACTCATAACGCGGGACACAGCATCAGCTAGGCGTTGATTTCAGAAAATGTTATAGAGTGGAAGATGAGAACATCAACGGGGGGGGGGTGACAAGAAGTGATAACAGCTGATATGGGCTGATAAGGAACGTTGCCATTGTTGTTCAGTCAAAGTGTTGGGGCTTTACACTACTAAGTCATAGAGCTTTAGTGACAATATGAAACTGATGACGGGTGACAGGCAGTCCTATCAATTGATAAGAAGGGATAAGGGGCCATTATCATCACATCTCCTACCACTATACTGCTACGTAAAGAAGGCCCAGTGTGCAAACTCCTCCTTTAGTCATCACTTCCCTGATAGCAGTGAAAATGAACTCATCCCACTATCCTTACATTCTATAAAGCAGAAACTTTGTGTGTCGGTTTGCCGGTATGTAGGTATGTATGTATGTCGGTTTGTATGTCTGTCCGTCTGCAAAGTGCTTCACAGGATTAAACAGGTCAGTGAAAGGAGAATACGACCGCAAGACAAACCGGAAATCGATCGGT